ATATCTCTTTTTTTTATTATTAAACTTACTTGATTCCTTCTTCCAGAAATCGAAATTTAGGTTCATTCCAAATAAAATTTGCATATTTTTTATGAATTATTTCTTAAAAATTACTATTTTTAAATAATTTTTTCAAAAAAAAAAAAAAAAAAACTTTTGAATTGTGACCTATAATATTTTTACTGTCATTTTAATGTAGATATATTTTTAAGCACAACCTGCAAAAATTAGAATTTTATATTCAAAATTTCCTGTGATATATATGAATTTACAAATTGGCGTGTTTTGAAATGTGGTGTATTTCAAAACCGTGAAAAACAACTTTATATTTAGCGTAGGTATTAAATATAAGGTTGTTTTTCACGGTTTTGATTGTCACATTAGCGTGTTTCTCTTCTAGTCTATGTGGTGTATTTGTTATAAGTGATAATAACGCCAAATGTGGTTTATGCACTATTATTTGAAAATTATTTGTATTGTAAGTATGAACAATGACTTTTTCCCCCGCTCATTTGCAGTGAAAAAAGGAAAGGAAAATCGGTTGGGAAAAAAAAATTATTCTTGGCACAAACTGAAAAATGTCTAGCAAGATAAATTTTTAAATTTCTCCTTAAATTCCTCGCTAAAAATTATAAAATTTAATATCTAGACATAATTTAAGTCATAGAAAGTATGGAAAATATTGCTATGTTATTTCAGAAAAAGCCCAATTTTATGTCAGAACACCTACCTATATTAGAACAATGCTATATATAAATCTAATATATATATTAAGTCTTGCTTTCGAGACATGAAAAACACAATTTTAATTTCGTTAATCGGCCCAGTAGAACGGGAGATAAAGAACTGTCCCCCCTTTTTTTGCACAGTGTACATCGTAAAATTTATCAAAACAAGTACTATGTAATTAATTTTATATTCATCCTTTCAATATGTTTTTAAAAGTTTTTACAAGACTATATATGATAATTTGGCAGCTATGATATTAGCTATATATGAATGAAGTTCATTCCTGAAGTAAATTTGTATTCCAAAATATTCATAATCTAAAATTATTTTCATGGTAAGCAGTAATGTAAAACAGATTAATCGGTTCCTGGGCCACACATGATTACTTATTTAATATTTGCAATCCTAGTCCATATACAGGTTCGTATCGCAAAGCCAGGGAAATAATAAAATCTGAGATGTAGTAAGTGCAGAATAAATTAGCTATAAAATAATACCAAAGATGCTAACTTTCATTGATTTTTTTTATTGTACTCCAGTCCCCGTGACTTTTAAATAGCTTGTCTGTTCTTTGTGCTAGAGGTTGCCTATGTCACTTATGCTTACAGTCAGCCCTGATGGTGGAAGTGTCACGTTTTAAAAACTTGGACACTTTCATCTTTGTTATGTCTGTGAAAAAAACAAATACCTAAAAATCATGCACAGTGTTTGTTGTTGAAAAAAATTCAGATTGTTGATTTAGATAAATTGGCAACTTTGTAAGATGAAAATGTAATTTAATTTTAATGTACTGTATGAAGAAAAACAGGTAGCATAAGTGGAAAGTAGTAAGGTAGAGATTGTTATTTGGAAGAAGAGGTTCTATGCATAAAATTTTCAGGTAATTGTCTTTCTGGGGCATCATGCCCCCCTTATAATACCACTTAGCAATTCTGTGTGAGACTTTTGTTTTACTCAGAATTTGTCCATGTGTTGTTTATATTTTAAAATGTTTGTTTCTAAAGAGAGGCTTGGCATTGTCATTGAAAATACGTATACTGTAACTTGTTACAGCTTATCGTGATATTCTTACATGAAAATTTTATACAGTGGAACCTTGAGATATGAGTTTAATTCGTTCCAACATTGAGCTCCCATAACGAATGTTTCGTATCTAGAAACAAACTTCTCCATTGAAAATAATGTAAATGCAGTTAATCCGTTCCACATCCCCAAAAATATCATCATAAAAATCATTTTTTCTAATAAGTAACATAACCATAGTTTACCTTTATGATAGCTTCTGACACCGACCTTTTAAATGCTTCTCATTAATTCACACTAACAACAGCTTCTCAACATCTTCTAGGAGTTTTGGACTGTGCTTGGAATTAACGGTAACTCGTTTGGCTACATTAAGTTTCTTAATTTCTTCCTGCTTCTTCAGAACACTGCAAATCGTCGATGTTGAAAGGCTGTAAGTCTTCGCCTATTCCCTCACACTTACACACTGTTTATCTATGATTTCATACTTAATTTCAATGGCCATGGCTTCCTTATTTTTCTTTGCAGACTATCTGAGGCAACAGTCTTCTTGGGAGGCATCACAAAATAATTATTTTCACGTAAATGTAATAAACAGTTGACTTACAAGCGCACAAACATGTAGATCAAAGAACACCGAGTGATCTGACGAGTCGAGATGGATCGGGAAATGGCGCCACACACACCAACAGCCTGGCTCATTGCTTGTTACTCGAGTCAGTGCTCATGTTTAGAGACAAATTTTTCACTCATACTTTCCTTGTATCTCGAATTTCTCATATATAGAGGTGCTTGTATCTTGAGGTTCCACTGTACTTTATCCTGTTTTGGGCATATTTTGTGGATCAAAGAACTAGGATTATTTTCCTTTCCTTCCTATGGAATTGCTTTTTGTAGCTGCTCTTGAAGTTGTTCCATCTATTTCTTGTGCTTTAGTAACATTTTGATGTTAACTTCCAAGTCTTTGGTTTTACCTAGATGATTTTACAGCCTATGACTGATTTGAATTGTTAGTTTGGAATTTTCTATATTAGCTTGACTCTGTACATTTTCTTAAATTTTAATTTCAGATTAAAGCTAATTGTGGTAGCTGCTTTATTGGATCCCAGTGTTATCATGCTAATTTACCAGAACAAATTTCTGCGGTAACTAAAATATTAGGGAAATTTAATTATAAATTTCAGACCTCCCTTTAAAAAAAGTAACGAGATTTATAGCTTTGTTGTTTATTTATGTAATTGCTTGTCAGCCTTTTCTTTTTACTATTAGTAATTACGTTTTCTGAGTTATTCTGTTTACATATTTCTTTTGTGTAGATCATACCTTTCCCTTTTACTTCTCTTTTATTTGGCCTTGAGGAATTCAGCAATTTATTTAGTAATATGTCATTATGAATATAATACCATTGTTTATGAAAATGTAATTTTTGTGCCGACAAAATATAAACTGACAGGTAGATGCAGAGTAAAATATATTTCTTTTTAAAATACAGTCATGTAAAATCAGATCAAATGTCGCATCTCATTTCTGATTATCTTTATGAGAGCATGGTTTTTTTTTTTTTTTTTTTTTTAATTTGTTAAATGAATATTATACAATGTACTTTTTTATTTTTTTATTTGTTAAGAATAGGACTTTATAAATGTTTTTCCTCATTTTTTTAATGACAATTTTATTGATTTATGAAATAACGTATTTATTCAATAAGCAGAAACATAAGTTACAGTCAAAAACCATACTTTATTGATAAAATTGTTCTCCTAGCATAGAAATAATTTGATATCTCAAGGTAATGAGGAAACAAATAGCGATTCTAGTCAGATCTAATAAATATATCCAGTTTTTATATTCAAAGAAAACAACATTATGATATAATATTTGTTCTATGCAGATGAATCTTTTTTAACTTTAGCTATAGTAGTGAGGCGTATATCATGCCTACGGTGTGTGCACATAGTATTTAACTGTTTAAGAAGGTCTGTTTTGTAATATTAGTATCCAAGAAGAATTAGTTATTAGATAACTGAGGAGTTACTCATCAGTTCATGCAATTGTCAAGGTCACTTCCCCGCCATTAAGTTTGCAAAAATAGAACTGTAAAGTACAAAATTCTTAACTTCTGCATGTCGTGTTATCAATTACCATTTCCAGATTTCTTTGGAATGGGGGTAAAGAGTAGCTGATTATCATTGTAAAAATAGTAGTTTGATAGAAAAGACCACAAATTTTTGCTTTAATATTCTTTTCAAACAATGTATGTTTCTTTATCTTGTAAATATTTTAATATGTTAACTGTGAAAATTCCCTATTAATATATTTACCAGCTATTCCCTAAATCCACATTCTTTAGGTTTCTGTTTGATATTTCCATACTGAATCATAAACATTTCAAAATGCTGGCTTTCGTAGGGAGTAAAACCTTACACACGTAAAAAATAAGTTGTGAATTTGAAATTTTGCATAGTCATAAAAATAATTTTTCTTAAATAGGTATATTCTGTATATGATTATGATACGTATTTCTAAATGAACAATATTATTTGTTATTGAATTTGACAGAAAGCAGCTTCAAAACTTAACTGGGTATCTAAGTAATGATACTAATGTTTATTCTTTTTGAATATTTTAAGTTTCTATTAGTGTGATATTATTTTCTTTATGTATTGAAATGAATATGTGTGGTCATTTATTTTCTTGTTACCTTTGTGTAAAATAAAATGGGATATAATATGTAAGACATTCAATAAATATTAAGTAAAACTAAGTAATTCTACAGATTTTATTCAGTTATTGTATTCATATTTTATATCTTTTGGTTATTAAACCCATTTTGAACTAAATAACTGAAATTTTTAAGTTTAAATTTTAAATTCATTAAGTTTAAGATAAGCTAACTATTAAGAATACTGATAATTTATAAGGTTTTCTTCAGTTTGGTGTAGTTTTGTATGGGTACAATCTTATTTTATAAATAGGAAACTGAATTAAAATTAAATAATAATAGCTTAAAAAAACTTATTTGTTGGGAACTGGAAAGGATTACTAGGAATTTTGTAATTTTGGAACACTATGTTCTTCATACCATAGCATTAAATTATGGTATTTGGAACTAAGTGTATTTTGCTTGTTATATTTCATTTTAATTAGTTTATTACTCAGGAAAATGCAATAAATAATGCTTTAGCGAGTGGTGCCTACGTGTATGCTGAAGAGTAGCTATATAAAAATGTGCTTCATTTGAAATTAGGCTTTGGATTTTTATCTTTTGAATCTGAAGACAGCATTGATCAAGTGTGTGGTCAGCGTTTTGTGAACATCAACGGCAAGCAGGTGTAGTGTATATTTAATCTATATTTATACTAATTTTTCTGAATTTTATGTTATTGCATACAAAAGCATCTTTTTGGAGGTGTAACATGAAAATGCAAATTTTACACGATATAGTGAAGGCTTTGTTATCTAGCACTCTTTAAGTATAACAGAAAACTTATAGCAACATTCAGAAGAAATTCAGTATTATTGTATATGAATCTATTAAAAAAGCTTGTAATACAGGATGTCTTGTAAGTTCAGACACGCTGGAGTTTCTTACGTTACTATTTCTGATCTCATTCTGTGATATTAATTTTTGCTATCATCTGAAATAATAATTCAGATAATTTTTCATCTAAAGAAGTAGATATTTCAGCACACATTCACAGATAATCTGTAAAATAATTTCAGAGTAGATATTTCATCTTCAGTTGTGTGTGCAGTGCAGCTCTTGATTTTGTTGAGCTGATTCGGTAATTGCATGCATGTTTCTGTTATGGGTCCAGACTTACAGGACACTCTGTATTTTCCGAAAGGTGAGTAAAGTATACATAAATCTGAATTAAACTGGCAATTTCAATAAATCATCGAATTCTCAAAAGCAGTGTATTTTTTAGGTAAGAATATTCTCTCATTACTTCTAGGCAAAACTATTTGTTTGCAGATGGCATTTAATATGATCTTCAATAACTAAGAGAAGATGTGTTTTAAAATGTCAGTATTACTGTTATCACTATTTATTTTTTCTAATTTAATAATAAAGTACTTTTTAAGGAATTGGATTGATGATATCTGTAATTCAGACTTGTGCAGTGACTTTTTGTATGTGTTGTTAATGTCAGCAGTTATTAAATATATGTAAAAAACTTGCTTCCCATTGATAGCGTGTTTAACAAACTAAAAAGATGCTTTTTAATGCATTTTTCTCTTAGCCATCATACTTAATAACAGTAATGTGGCATTTAATAGCTAAAAAGTAAAATATGTGATTAAAAAATTTATAAGGTATGATTAATTTTTGTAAGTTGTATTTTAATTATATTTACCATTTTTAAAAAATTAGTGTTTAGAAAGCAGAAAATGTTAAAACTGTATGTATTTTTTAAAAATCTAACTGTGAACTTCAATAGCAGAAGTTTATTAACAAGTTTAATTTGGATGTAAGATGCATTTGAATTAGGAAAAATGTCTTTTCTATCTCTGCTAATTTATTATGTAGAAAAATTATAGTGTTAAAATTTTTAAATCCGTTTTATTATTAGGAACAGTTTTATTCACACAGACAAGTATTAATGATGTGTAAAATTAATTTTATGTGTTAGTTAGAAAGCTAAATTAAAATTAGATCATATTTATAAGACTATATTAATAGGTAATTTGAAAGTGACAGACTTTTAAATACATTTTTATTCTCAGGGAAAAAAAAATTGGAATCGTTAAATGAATCAGATCTAGAGAAAACTGGCACACTTGAAAGCTGCTTGCTATACTAAACCAATCTGACTAAAATGTATCTAGAGTAGAAGTTTCTCAGAATGTATTATTTTTAATAATGGTGTTGTGTCCTAGTGTGTAAAGTTAAGGTGTGGAAGATTTAATTTGATAAAAATCATTAAGCTAATGTTTCTTATATAACTGAATGCAGTCTTTAGATGGAAGAGGAAAAATGTAAGTCATTGGATAGTGTTTAAAAGAATTATTTTTGATAAATTATGCATCATTTTATTGATAAATTCTTATTTTCAAAATTAAATTCAAATAAAGCAAATGTATTTTTTCAAGTTACCATTTTTAGATTTTTTGCGGGTATTTATTTTGTATTTTTAATTGAAAAAATGAATGTTGCATTTAAAAAAGATCTGAAATTTTTTAGTTCCAAGTAATTATTATAGAGTTTACTTTTAGATGGTATTCAATACTAAATAAATAGTTTTTTTCATGTAAGTAAAAAATATTATTATTGATTGAAATATCAAAATATGCAGGATAACAAAGCTTTTACTTGTTTTACTTATGATACCTGTAAAATTTTAAGAAATATTATGCATTTAAAAAAAGAGTTCTTTTACATATAGTTAGTTGTCTTATGAAAAGTTCTATATGCAAAATAATTTCCATTAATTTTTAAGTGTTTCTGAAAATATTGTTGTATTATTTCTTTATTACGTTTAAGTTTCTTATGATGTGCCCCCTTCCCCTTCTTCTTCTTCTTCTGAAGTATTGAATGTGTATCACATCAAGACGAATAATTGGTACTTTTAATCAGATATATTATTCTTACAAAATTTTCCCTTCATTATTTCATTAGTTTATTTATGTAAAAATTAAAGCTGTTATTACAGTCTCTAATAACAGCTTTAATTTTTACATGAGCATATTAAAACACTGGCATAAAAATGCAGATGTGAATTTTTAATTTTTTAACTGAATAGAAAAATATGGAAGAAAGAAATTTTCAAGTCAGTGGTACTCTTAGAATTGTTCATAAAAATTTATTTTCAATTTGAGATTTTAAACTAGAATGTGTTAATAGTGTATAATCAAAATATATTTATCTGGAATTCATTGATATCATTTCTCAGTGCATGTGCATTGCAGGACTTTTTAGAAAATGCAGTGAGAAAAATCTCTGTGGAATAAAGTTCAGAGTTTGGACTACTAGGTAGAGCAGTGGTCTCAAACTCAAATTGCCTGCGGCGTGCATGCTTGAAAACAATAGACAGGCCAGAACTTTTTTAACAAAATTTTAAAAAAAATTCTTAGCAAAATAAAAAATACTTCGAATAATTAAAAAATTTTACTAAGTTCCCCCCCCCCCATAAAATATACATAAATGGCAATAATAATGCAGCAAAGAGGAAAAACAATTCAAACTTTTATCTATTTTCTATTTTAAATCTAAAGTTTGATACCATCAAGAAATTTTTTTATTAAGCTTGGTAATTCAGATATATTCACAGATAAGTATTAAATTTTCAGACTGATGTTTGTCTAAAATAGTTCTAACTTGTTTAGTTAATCATTAAATAACTTATTTTAATTTACACAGAAAGAAATTATGAAACCTTCGTAACTTCAGAGAAAATTTCTAAGACAAAATAAATGAGATAAAAAAATGACAGCTTAGTTTCTTTCTTTATTTATTGTATTTTTCTGCAATGCATGAATAAAAATAGCTTATGTAAGTAATTATAAACTTCTTTTATTTTTTAATATCGCTTGACATTTGATGTCATTTTGATTTTGATAAAGTTTGTAGCCTTGACCAGAAATTATCACAGATTGTAGATGTTAATCAGCCAGTATGGTTTTTCTTTTAATTTTCAACATGAAAAAAATGCTGCTTACATATAATTATAAATGTTTAATATTTCCGAGCATGGAAATTATTCTTGGTGCAAAAATTTTAACTAATTTATTTTTTGACAAGTATAATTAGAAATTAATACAGTCTGTATCTTCAAATCTTTGAATAAGATTTATATCACATTGTAAATTAACTCCATTTTCTGATGTGTTATTCAGATTAGTTTTTAATGGTAATAAAAATTATATAAACTGGGACTTTAGATAATTAAAATCTTTCTAAAATGCATTTGCAACAAACAGATTCATAATTGAAATGTCTTCGCTGGCTGTATAAAATCAATTGGAGGGTTGGCTATGAGACCACTGATTTAGAGTATGCTATTTAAACAAAAGTTCAGTCTTGTATTGAAGTTTTTTTGCTTTGTGATTTAGAAAGGTACACTGTAGAATAACTCGATGGTCTATAAATAGCACTTTGTTTGCTTTAATTATTTAAATGAAAGATAATTAAAATTATCCTAGAGAATGCTTAACAGTTTTTCTCCTCAACCATATAAATTTTAGACACTCTAAAACTATCCAAGATAATTTTTAACAGTTTTTTCCCACAACCATATAAATTTTACACACCCTGGTTAGTACATGATATCCTATGATAGAAATGCTGCTCCCCATATAACTAGGCTGAATTCAGTACAGATCTAACAACTAATGAATGTAGTTTCATTTTATCTCTGTGAAGCATGCTAAATATATCAAATTGGTTTAAACATTTAAGGAGGCAGACTCTTTTATTATTGAATACACGATATTTGCTCAAAAATTAACACCCCTCCCTAAATTTTTATTCTAAAATTCGGTTGCGTGTTATAAACATGTATTTTGATAAATGAAATTGCAAAATGAACAAGGAGTTTAGTATACTGCTTAAATACTGAATAAATTACCTAGTTTATTATTGTATATATACTGCATAACTACTGCAAATTATAATAGCTGCCTCTAGATGGCTGATTCCAGTTAGGTTTGCATTCGCTGTATTGATGATGGGTATGCCTGAAAACAAATAGGTAGCTATATATTCCTAATTTTCAGTATTTTTCTTCTTTTTCTTCCTGCACTATAATTAAATATTATATTTAATTAGTTAGTTTATCCATCATTCTAATCAAAATTGCTGTTGCTGTCATCAAATATGGATGCTTCAATGCATCCGATAGTGTGTTAGAGCTGAGCCCATCAACAGTTGAGCAATAGAGTCATTGAACACTTTTAGTTTTGTCTGGGGTTCAAATCCTGGCAAACAGGCTGGCTCCATAAGCGTTTTCATGGAACTGCCTCATATAACATGTATATGAGGCAGTTCCTTCTAGAAGAATCTTCACAAAGACATTTCTCCTCTTAGATGTGGGATGATCAACCCATGGCACGGCAGAGTTTTAACTGTGACATGCTAAGACTTATTTAAAAATCTGATGTGGACACCACATGACTTCCTTGTACGGCTTATTAAATTATACTCATTTTTTTTTGCTGCATTTCATTTAAACTTATTTTCTTGAATTTCATTAGAAGTATATTTCTCATTCAATTAGTTCAGTTCACTTGCAGCAAGGCAAAAATAAATAAAAACTCAAAACATCATTAAAAATTGTAAAATACAGCAAAACAGAAAACACCAAATACAGTTGAAAAAACAATTTTTACAT